TTTTGCTTTTCTTGAATTACAGAGTAACTGGATTTCTAAAATCTAGATGATTTAGTATGTACAAAATAATTTGTTCAGTATGTTGGGAACCCATTTTTAGCATTCTTATATAAAAGGAACAAAGGCTGTGATACAAACTACCTATCTGTCTGGAGCAGGCGTTTTTTGTTTCATTGTTACCCATTATTGACATTATAAGAATTTCCTTACAAAAAAATAATTTGATTAAGCAAACCTTTGAGAGAAACGCCCATCAAAAAACTGTAAAAATTATAATTTTCATGAATAGAATGCATGATAATGATATTTGAGAGTCTGAAACTCACACATGTGTGTTATACCAAGTATTTTTACAGCCTCCTATTCTATAGAAAATCTTTTTTTCACCCGTTGAAATCAACTTCACTTATTAAAACCCACTTTACTCGTTTACGAAAAAATTTTTAGAGAATATGAGTCGTGAACCAATATGCCATGTGATTTTTTTACTAGATTAATATAGTTATTTTCGTAAACCCTGATGATGCAAGACCAATAACCTTCGAAACGTCGTCTATAAAAATGTCGTACAAAAATTGCTAACTTAAGTTGTTATACTGTGAATGTCTCTGATTCAAAAAACAATGAAACTTGTTAAAGCCCTAATTTTTTTAATTTTATTTAAATTATCCATATTACACAAAAGATATTTTAAATTAAAGAAACAAAATTGTGCTAGTGAAAAAACATTTTTTCGGAAGTTTATTTCTCTCTAAAGAAGCTATTTGTACGTTGAACCGAATTGGAAACAGAGAAAAAACCAAAGAACTTCTGATCACATTCGAAAAAAACAAAACAGAAAAGCTACCATGTGTTCACAGTTCAAAAAAGCATGAGACAGAAAATAAGCTACAATAACCTTGATGACTACAATTCCTTGAGTCAATCATGTTCATATTATAATTGTAAACAATGTAAGTAAAGAGTTCAGCGGATGGAAGCTCTATTTCAGTTTTTTACAGTACATTGATACTAGCATCTTAGAGAAAATTAAATATACTCCGATTAATTTACAGTGACTTCATTTCGTTTAATAGCCTAGACAGAGAATCCAAATCAAGAGATCATTACAAAGGTATTTTCGGTATTAAAACTCCTGAATTTAATAAGTATCCCAGCTGATCAAACATCATAAGTCACATAATTTAAATAGAATAATGTTAAAATGATAGATACATCAAAATGCTACAACAATGCCAAGTTGCCAATTAATAGACTGTTGTTCAAATTCGTCATTTTCTTTGCAGAAAAGACCCTACAATAAATCGAGCCAACGAAGGACAACCAATTAATTTGATTCCAGAAATACTGCCAAGAAATTAAACTCGAAAGGACGGATCCAGCAAGAGCGAAACAGATGCTTCTACCTAAAAATGGAAAAATGATAAAGAACTTGCATGAGCTAGAAAAAAGATGGAGAAAACATGTAATGAGGAATTAACAGGAAATTTCATATGGCAGAATTGGAAATTTGAAAAAAAATAAAAGTTATGCTTTCTCAATTATTGTTTTTATTGTAAACAAGTAAACTATTTCACTAAAAGTGTTTCTTAATTAAAAACATCTTCGGCAACTTTGTCATTCCCCTCCCCTCAACGTCTTCTTCCTCTTTCAGGCAAAGGAATCATGGGTATTTTTGGGCAATCTGTGTAGAAACTGGTTGGCCGAATATTTCGAATTCTTGTTTGATCCAGCAACCGAAACTAGTAAACCATAAAGTTTGTATGTACCACAAGCTTACTAGCATATTTTTGTCATTTAAAAATTTACTCGCGCAAGTTTTTCTTATACACGGGCCACACTAGTCCTCATCCCATCGCTCGAATAGCACGGCACGTTGTGATACTTAAGTTCGGACTCGAACGCACGTGCCAAATTAAAACAATAACTGCAACAATCACCTCGCACTTTTCAAAAACACATCGTAACATTTCTCGTGGCAAGTTTGGCGATTAAGTTCATACCCACATTGCGTTACGATCTTTTAAGCCCTGACGTAGTCAGAGCCCTCCTCTCCCCGCCCCCCTGCCTATGAAATATCAAGAAAACTTGTTGCTATAGTATACAGTATACATATAGTATACATAAATATCTAAATATGCTGCACGTGTGCGTGGCGAATTGCCAGTAGCGCTTGGACGCCGAAAAACGGAATAGGGAGCTCTCTCGTATTTCGATGGTCGTCTAAATGCATGTGTCGAGCTGCGTGCCTATTGAAAGCTGCCGCCGAAATTTAGTTCTTCCGGCGCCACTCTCAAGACGAGGGCGGCGATAGCCAGACGCCGCGCCGTCACGCTCGGACAGGCTCCGGAGCGGACGTCGCATCCGTACCTGACAGCTGGCCAGCGGACCCGCAGCCCGAACCGGCTATAAAAGCCGCGCCCGGCGAGGCGGAGAGAACAGGTCAAGCGCCTGCCTACATTGTAAATGATTAACGTGGATGGTAACAAGTGCCGAACGACACAAGCTACGGTGACGGGGACTTTTCTCTTCTGTTGGAAACACCCGTGAACGGCACAATGCTGCGATTCTGACATCTCCCACGGAAAATTGTATGGTGGACATTCTTCGGTACGTCTTCTGAAAACTGTTTGGATCTGCTTGAACATGTTACTACCTCTGTTACTTGCTTGTGGTTGGAATAAATCCATTTTGAGATATTGCTTTCTTATTGATACTTACAGTTAAAACCACTTCGCAATATCAGTGTTCTGAATTTTGGAAATTATATTTTGACCATTCCGAAGGAGGTGCAACCCTTCTTGGGCAACCCAGCCAAACCCAACTTAAACAAAACTGAAGGTTTTTTAAAAAAAAGGAGCTGAAATAAAATCTTGATGGCCCTTTGCAAAAAAAGCAGCATTATTGAAAAAAAAAATCCCCCCCTCCTTTTTGCGGGCCTGATGGCCCGAGTCTCGCCACGTAAAATAAGGCAAATTCAATTCAATTCAATTCAAGAGAACCCGTCTTCGCCAGAGCTCTAGGCGAATATTAACATTTCTGAAAGCTCCGCAAACGCAGTTTTACAAAAAAGGCGTGGAAAATGCAGCGTTTCTACATTTTAAGAAAAGAAAAATCAATATTTTCTCTCACATACAGCAAATGGAATTACATTTCCCCCTATTCAATTTTTCGACGTGGCTCACCAAGCAATACGAGAGCCAGCTATTGCGTTAGTAGAAGAGAGTCACCTATCAATAATAATAATAATAATAATAATAATAATAATAATAATAATAATAATAATAATAATAATATGCCTTTATTAATATGGCGAGACTGGCCATCAGGCCCGCTCTTCCGCCTAACCACATGTCACAAATATACGGAGTAATGTAGTAATAGTAAAAGTACTAAAAAGTAATGTTATCTAAAAATTTAAACGTAATGTAATTTACTAGTGGTAAGTAGTTAGTAGAAAGCAAACGTTATTTAAAGCAACTTATAAATAGATAACATCAGAGGTTAAATGGATACAATGTTACAATAATAAGTTTGAAATAATTTTAAAATCAAGTCTGAGATTGAAAACAATTTGAATTAAATAATATTATGTGCTTTACATATCTGCGCACTACGCGGCAGCCTGGTATTCGCCCCGAGCGACTGTGATCTATTAATACAGAAAAACACCATCACCCGCCACTCGATCCTGAAGGAAAACCCGCTAGTCGGGGAAAACCCACCAGGCAGACTGCGTCCTAATACAATAGAAACTAAGCTAACATGAAGTAACGGGTCTTTGGGATGGTATCCTCAGCTGCGGTCCATGCTGCATAGTGCCGTTTTCTTCTTTAAATCCGCCTCTGCTCCTACGGATGAAAGAACAGTTCCGGCAGTATCAAACAGGTCGCAAGAAAGTAACATTTGTTTTACAAAAGAAACATTAATGTTATTTCTAAAACATATTAATCTTAACACTCCTAAGGAATAGTTTTTATTTGGCCCGTAATCTGCGTTGATTTAAATTGCAAAATGATGAATTTTACTTTGTAAGAAAATCATGTAGGTGCTTCTTAAAATATGTTAATGAAGAGGAGTTTTGAATATTAGAAGGCAATTTATTCCATTCCCGGGCTACAGTAATTGCGAACGATTTATTGTAGTAGTTGATTTTGCTTTTTGGAATACAGAGTAACTGGGATTTCTGAAATCTAGATGATTTAAGATGTACAAAATAATTTGTTCAGTATGTTGGGGAACCCATTTTTAGCATCTTATATAAAAGACAAAGGCTGTGATACAAACTACCTATCTGTCTGGGAGCAGGCGTTTTTTGGTTTCATTGTTACCCATTATTGACATTATAAATTTCCTTTACAAAAATATAATTTGATTAAGCAAGACCTTTGAGAGAAACTGCATCAAAACTGTAAAATTATAATTTTCATGAATAGAATGCATGTAATATATTTTGAGAGTCTGAAACTCACACATGTGTTGTTATACAAGTATTTTTACAGCCTCCTATTCTATATGAAAATCTTTTTTCACCCGTTGAAATCAACTTCACTTATTAAAACCCACTGTTACTCGTACGAAAATATTTTTAGAGAATATGAGTCTGTGAACAATATGCATGTGATTTTTTTATTAGATTAATATAGTTATTTTCGTTAAACCCTGATGATGAAGACCAATAACCTTCGAAACGTTGGTCTATAAAATGTCAGTACAAAAATTGTAACTTAAGTTTGCTATGCTGTGAATGTCTGATTCAAAAAATCAATGGACTTGTTAAAGGCCCTAAATTTTTAAAAATTTTATTTAATTATCCGTATTACACAAAGATCATATTTTAAATTAAAGAACAAAATTGTGCTAGTGAAAAAACATTTTTTGGAAGTATTTTCTCTCTAGAAGCTATTTGTATTGAACCGAATTGGAACAGAGTAAAACAAAGAACTTCTGATCACATTCGAAACAAAACAGAAAACTTACCATGTGTTCAGTAAAAAAGCATGAAGACAGAAAGTAGTACATAACCTTGATGACTACAATTCTTGAGTCAATCATGTTTAATTATAATTTGTAACAATGTTGAATTAAAGAGTCAGGGATTGGAAGCTTATTCAGTTTGTTTACAGTCATTTTGATACTAAGCATCTTAGAGAAAATTAAATATACTCCGATTAATTACAGTGACTTATTCGTTGAATAGCTAGACAGAGATATCCAATCAAGAGATTCATTACAAAGTAATTTTTGGTATTAAAACTCCTGATTTAATAAGTATCCCAGCTGATCAAACATCATAAGTCACTATATTTAAATTAGAATAATGGTTAAAATATAGTACATCAAATGCTACAACAATGCAAGTTGCATTAATTAGGACTGTTTGAAATCTCATTTCTTTGCAGAAAAGACTCCTACAATAAATTCGAGGCAACGAAGGACAACAATATTTGATCCAGAAATATGCAAGAAATTAAAACTCGAAGACGGGATCCAGCAAGAGGAACAGATGCTTCTACTAAAAATGGAAAATGAAAAAGAACTGCATGAGCTAAAAAAATGGAGAAACAGGTAATGAGGAAGTAACAGGAAATGTCGTGGCAGGAATTGGAAATTTGAAAAAAATATAAGATTATGCTTTCTCAATTATTGTTTTTATTTGTAAACAAGTAACTATTTCACTAAAAGTGTTTCTTAATAAAACATCTTCGGGCAACTTTGTCATTCCCCTCCTCAACGTCTTCTTCCTCTTCAGGCAAAGGATCATGGGTATTTTGGGCAATCTTGTGTAGAACACTGGTTGCCGAATATTTCGAATTCTTGTTTGATCCAGCAACGAACTAGTAAACCATAAAGTTTTGTATGTACCACAAGCGTTACTAGATATTTTGCCATTTCTTTACTCGCGCAAGTTTTCTTGATACACGGGCCACCTAGTCCTCATCCATCGCTGAATAGCACGGCACGTTGTGATACTTAAGTTCGACTCGGAACGGCACGTGCCAATTTACAATACTGGCAACAATCACCTCGCACTTTCAAAACCATCGTAACATTTCTCGTGGCAAGTTTGGCGAGTTAAGTTCATACCCACAGTTGGTACGATCTTTTAAGCCGTGACGTAGTCAGAGCCCTCCTCTCCCCGCGCCCCCTGCTATGAAATATCAAGAAAACTTGTGCGTATAGTATACAGTATACATATTTAGTATACATAAATATCTAATATGGCTGCACGTGTGCGTGGCGAATTGCCAGTAGCGCTGGGACGCCGAAAACGGAATAGGGGAGCTCTCTCGTATTTGCGATGGTCGTTAATGCTGTGGTCGACTGCGTGCCTTTGAAAGTGCCGCCGGAAATTAGTTCCGGCGCCACTCAAGAGAGGGCGGCGATAGCAGACGCCGCGGCGCCGTCACGCTCGACCAGGCTCCGGAGCGGACGGGCGCATCCGTACCTGACAGCTGGCCGGCGGACCCGCAGTCCGAACCGGCTATAAAAGCCGCGCCCGGCGAGCGGAGAGACAGTCAAGCGCCTGCCTACATTGTAAAGTGATACGTGGATGGTGAACAAGTGCGACGACACAGCTACGGTGACGGACTTTCTCTCTGTTGGAACAGTGAACGGCACAACGGCTGCGATTCTGGACATCTCCCCGGAAAATTGTGATGTGGACATTCTTCGGTACGTCTTCTGAAAACTTGTTTGGATCTGGCTTGAACATGTCTACCTCTGTACTGCTTGTGGTTGGAATAAATCCATTTTGAGATATTGCTTTCTTTTGGATACTACAGTTAAACACTTCGCAATATCAGTGTTCTGAATTTTGGAAATTATATTTTGACCATTCGAAGGAGGTGCAACCTCCTTGGGGCACCAGCCACCACTACAACTGAGGTAAGGAGCTGAATAATCTTGATGCCTTTGCAAAGCAGCATTATTTGAAAAGCCAGTTTGCTGTATTATATGACGGCGATCACCCACCTGGTGTACACAACTTCCATTAGGGCAGACACAAATGGATTTGCACATTACTTATTATAATAATACTAATAGTGTCGACGACAATAGCGACTACAACGCTTTTACATGTCACACACAGCTTTTAGCTGTTTTCATAAAATTAATTAATTTATAAATTAATAAAAGTCAATTAAGTAATTAATTAATGGCGGAGCTCAGGCCGTATGGCCTGCTCTTCCGTTTGACTACTTTAAGGTGTATGGTTCCGGCGTTTTAGCAACGAGGACTGAATCATCCTGTACACTAGGAGCCAATCTGATGTTAGCGACTGCCAAGCACCGTACATACCACTATTGGCCTCTGGTAGAATATATTATAAACCATTTTGCTCTTAGCGATATGGAAAAATAATAAACGTCATGCATCTACCAACATATTATTTAAATTATTTCCCCCTCATTTGTGTGGTAAGCCCTATTCACTAAACTTTGCAAGGCCAATGAGACAATCCTGAAGAAGAGCATGTAAAAGTTTCGAATCTATTCTTACACTACGTTTTGTGGTATCGATGTCGGTTACATGTTGAATTCACTTTTATTAGTAAGGAAGTTTTTCATAACCTTCAATAGTTCATAATACCAAATATATTTTTAATCACATGAATATTGATAGATGAAGAGAAATAATCATTTCTGGAGGCACTTTGAAATTTGATTTATTCTTAAGATTTTATTGATGTAACTACATGAATATTGTGAATTTGTGATGTTTTGATATTATTTCTTGTCAAATTTTATTACTTGGAGTAATTGTTCTCTTAAAAGAAAATAATATACCATTAATATTCGGATTCAGTGTTAATAAATCAGTGTCACTTTATTTTATTGGCTGTTTGTCTACATGAGTCACTTCTATTGCCGGGTATAATAGATTTTCTACAGAATCCTAAAATGTTGTAAATTACGCCTAAAGAACTGTACATTCAAAAATACCGCACATCCCCACTAGTTGGTCGAGGTATCTTACGTCATAATCCCCACCACGGAGTAGTTCTCTCCACCGCTTAGTTTTAGTGAGTTTGCCGCGCGTTCAAGGGCAGCACTAGTGCAGGGTCAAACACCACACTAGTATTTATTTAACAGTGCACATGACGTAAATGTGATGTTCAGAGTTTCAGCCAATCGAGAGCTTGAACGTCCCCATAGTGTCGTCACTGCAGAACGTTTTTGCTCCCGATTAGAAGAATACGCAACAACTGATTTACGTCAAGTGCACAACTAAATAAATCGTAGTGTAGTTGAGTGAAGTACCACGTGCACTGCAATTTATGGAATTCTGCCCGTTCTGCCTTTGGCAGGTATAAACGGTTAAGGGTTGCAACCAAGGGAGCTTAAATGCCACCAATGTGACATCACTCGTGACGTTTGAGCTCCCGATTGGATGAAACTGTCAACAACTGATACTTGCCAGGGGCAGAGTTGTAAAAATCGCAATGTAGTTTGCCAGCCGTGAATGCGCGTGAATTGCTGTGAATAATCTATTGTAATCAGAACTGAAATGATTGAAGAGATGAATATTGTAGCAGAAAGTATTATTAAAATAGAAAAGGTAAACAGCATTTGCACATTTGTTGTGATGAATCTCGATGTGTCAACATATAAGAATATGAAACGTTAATTCCGTAACAATTGTAAACAAACCGTCATTCCGCGCAATGTTTAAGATAACCTATTCCCAGAATTTTAATTTTTATTCATTTATATTTAATCGCAATAAAATAAAATTTTACTTCAAGCATAAAAATGTACAACCTGAAAACACATATGGAAGAATTCAGGAAAATTTGCGATGAAATCATAGGTTAGCAAATTTGTCGCATTTTCAATGTTTTCTGGAATTGCATTGATAAGTTACTAGGTATGTTATTAAATGTAAATGTTTAAAATTTGTTTCAAAAATAGTAAAATTCAGTAACAATTCATTCTACAAAGCAAGTATATATTACATAATAAACAAAAGAAGTTATTTTTGTATTCTTAGAAAGAATGGGTTGCCCCAACAGTTTTCCAACAAAACCCCCCAATTCAAGTTAAAACCAAAAGCAGTAAATGAGATACGCATACAAGTAATCAGCAAAATTAATACAAAAAGCCTGTGCTTTAATATGATGATTGTGTAATGAAAGAGCATGGCAGTGTGACGAACATTGTAATTTTCAAAAATGAGCCAACTAGCTCTGATAGACAATAAATAATATTATATTTCAAGAATTACGAAAAGTCCATATGAGTGAGAATTAATTGATGTTCTGTGAGCAAACTTATTGTGGTATTTTATTCTAATATTCAGTGTAAGATTAACTTCAGATTGATGATTTTGCTTTGTTGTTTCCAGATTAAAGAAGAACCAGTTGAAGAAGAAGAAGAGTATTCCTGGAATTCAATTGTGAGTTATAGTTCAGTAGTAGTTTTTTGTACAATGCAATGAAAATTTGTTTAGAGCCAACCACATCATTTTTTAGATACTATATTTATTTACAAATAGCTTGTGGCTGATTTAAATATCGGTATCACATTTTGCTAACAGCAGCCTAACTGCACAGTTTTGACAATTACTAACAATATAATTTGTATTATTTATAACAATGATTCTTTAAAAGTTCTTCAAATAACAAAATCAATATAATCAAAAATAATAACTCATTAACAATACAAAATATTGTAATACTAATTTTCCTATTCAATACTTTCCAACCAAACATCTGAATTTTTTACTGAAATTTCCAACTGTCCCAGAATTCTTTAGTTTTTGTGGTAATTCATTGTACATTGCTAGTCCTCTATTAAATATTGTTCCATGAGCTTCGCTGGTTTGCACATTTTCCCTAAGGAATTGATTAACCTGTCTGTAGATATCTGATAAACTTCATAATTTTTTCTTACTAAACCATCCAAATATTCTGGTAATACTTTGTTTTCTAATCTAGAAATAAATGTTAGTACATCTCTTTTTATTTCCTTTTCAACTGATAAATATCCTAATTCTTTTAGCATATTGCTAACATTTTTAGGATGTCTTTTATTCAAAACTGTTCTCATTCCTTTGTTGAGGTTGATTTGTATCTTTTCAATTTCCTTTTTATTTACCGTAGTAAGAATAGTTGAACAGTAACACACATGGGGTATCAAAATTAGTTTAAATAATAATTATTTTCCTGATCTTGAAATAACTTTCCTCAATTTATATAACAAATGAACTTTCATAGCTATTTGGTTGTTAATGTATTGAACATGATCTTTAAAACTTACATGGTTATCTATAATCACCCCAAGATATTTGTATGTCCTAACCCATTTCAAATTTTCATTGTTAAGCCCAGTTGATTTTGTTGATTCTACTTTCCAAAATTTATTTTGTCCCATAACCGTTCATATTTTTCCCCCAACAATAACACTCAAGAAAGTCATGCTCAACCATTCACTAACCAAAGTTAATTATCATTTTATTCTATTTATTTTATTTTTTACATTTTTATATATAGATATATCGATGTGTCATCTGCAAAAATATAGAGTTTACATTGCTTTACCACTCCTGGTAGATCATTTATACAAACAGTGGGTGATCCTAATTTACTCTTTTGTGACACTCCATGAATTACTTGTTTTTCATCTGATACTCTATTGTTAATTCTGACCTTCTGGTACTTGTCATCTAAATAATCTTTTAACCATTCATGCACACAACCACTTATGTAATACATTTCTTTCAATTTTTGCAGCAGTAACTCCCAATTAATTATTTCAAATGCCTGTCTATAGTCCATGAACACCGTCACTACCCCATCACCCCTATCAATAGCTCTTAACCAATCCTCAATTACCATTTGCAATGCTGTCTCCGTGCTACGTTTTTCTCTAAAGCCTGACTGGTTTTCTATTAAAAAATTGTTTTCTCTAATATATTTCATTAATGTTTCATACACCACTGTTTCTATAATTTTTTTTTTTTTCAACAACTGGAAGAGTATTTATTGGCATTTTGCACTTCCTTTATTTTAGCTATAGGAATAATTGTTGATATTTTCAGTGACTTTGGTATCTTTCTTTGAGTAAGTGATTGTTTAACAATTTGAGTAACTTTGTTTCCAATTACTGTCCATGCTTTTTTTTTAATCAATTCCTCCTAATTCCATCAGGTTAGTGTCTCTTTAAGTTTTTAACAATTATTCCAATCTCTTGCAATGTTACATACTAGAACATATTCAAATTAACATTTTTAACAATTTCATAACTTTTACACTAGTTCTGTTTTCCACTATTTCTCCTGCACTACTAACAAAATAATCATTTAGTCACATCACCTCCTCATTTGAGTTAAATACATATTTGTCACCAAATACTGCATGTTTCATTTGTATCTCACTAATTTTATTCATAAATTTTACATGTTTCCATTATATTTTAGATTTATCTTTAAGTCTCTCAAAACTATCTTCTTAATGCTTTCTTTTTGCTTCTCTTCAACAATTGGCAAATTTATTTCTACACTTTTTATATCTTTCCTATTCTGTTTATATGTCTATACCTACTTCTTAAATAACAAAAATCTACTGTATGCAATATCTTTTTGAACCATAGCTTCTTTTATATATGTAGAGAACCATGGACAGGGCATTTTTTGTACTTGTATATCCGGCTTTTTTGCTTGTTTCACACACTAAAAAGGATTTTCTTTCAGTCTTTCATATTCATTTTCAACATCAATTTCAGCCTCATCTTCCCTACTATCCAATTTTATTTCCAAAAATTCTAACATTTATATACTCTAGTTTTCCTTTCATTAAAAGCTTTCCACTCTTACCTCTAGTAGTATTTACTCACCAGAATAGTCATGAAGAAAACAGTAATAGTGCTGTAGTATCATATTGTTAATATGTATGCTTAACTGTCTAAAGAGTTGATTACTTGTGTAGAGGGAGTTTTGACTGTGCCATAGGGAAGGATGTGAGGGATACAAGTGCATCTGATTAATGCTCATTGTATAAGTAATCTATTATTCTACGTTTTCATCAATGCTCAATAAAAAATGCCTGCCTGAGAGTACCAATTGAACATTTGTGCATTATTATAGATTTTCATGTGTTGAGCTGCTTGGTTTTAATATTTTGAAGGGAAATTCTGGTAAAATATTTCACATTTCTTGTGATGTGTTTATTGAGCATTGTTCTTTTTTAATTTTTTAAAATTATTTTATTTCATTTAGGCAGAAGACAAACACAGTACACTTCAGCATTCAGTCAAGCAAGATGACATTAGAGATGTGAGTACAGCCATTCAACTGGCTTTTAGTAGCAATTTTTGAACACACGCATAGTTAATTTTTCGACATCTGAGTTAAATGGTGTAAATCCTCGTATTAATTGAGTTTGCAGTGTGTAAGTGTTGAAGAGGATTGATTTATTGTTTCTTACAAGTAATCAGCTGAAATTATTCAAAGAACCTGTTCTTTTAATATTATGTCTGTGCATTGAAAACATTGATCCTTCTATTTGTTGGATCAAGAGCATGGCAGTGGGAGGAACATTGTAATTTTCAAAAACTCAGCCAACTTGCCCAATAGACAGTATATAATATTATGTTGCAAGAGTGACAAAAAATTTATAAATCAAGTGATAATTAATTGATAGTCTAGGTGCAAATTTATTGTGTAATTTTTTCTAACATTCACAGTAAATTTAACTTCTGATTGATGATTTTGTTTTGTTGTCTCCAGATTAAGGAAGAACCAGTTGAAATAAAAGAAGAGTATTCCTGGAATTCCATTGTGAGTTATAGTTTAGTAGTAGTTTGTACAATGCAATGAAAATTTGGTTAGAGCCAACCACAAAATTTTTTAGGTACTTGCTAACCGAAGAGTCATGAATAGAAGAATAATAGTGCTGGAGTTTCATATTGTTGGCATGTATGCTTTCACTGCCTAAGGAGTTGACTGCTTGTGTAGAGGGGGTTTTTGACTGTGCCATAATGAAGGAATGTGAGGGATACAAGTGCATATGATTAATGCTCGTTATATAAGTAATCTATGATTCTGTTTTTATCTATTAAAAATGTCTGCCTCAGTATACCAATTGAAAATTGGTGCATTATTTTAGATTTTCATGTGTAGAGCTGCTTGTTCTAATCTTTTGAAGAGAAATACTGGTTATATATTTTACTTTAATTGTGATGTGTTTAATGAGCGTTGTGTTTTTTTATTTAGGCAGAAGACAAACATGGTACACTTCAACATTCAGTCAAGCAAGATGACATTGGAGATAATGTGAGTACAGCCATTTAACTGGTTTTTAGTAGCAATTTTTGAAAACACACATAGTTAATTATATATAAGTATATACTATCGTGTGGTAGCGTGTGTGTGTTTTATTTATGAAAAATAAATGTAAAAACTGTATATTGCACATAGTGGGAGGACTTCTATTTGAATACGCATATTTGGGTAACAGTGGTAACAATGTTCATGGCACAGGGCTCATGTGCATCTTGAAAAACTGGAAAAGTTGGAAAAAATTTCAACTCTCGACAAATCAGGAAATTAGACAGCTTATTAGGAATTTTTTTTTCAACAAATAATGTTCATATTTACTGAAAACAATGTTAATGGTTTTAGAAATGTAATTTTATTGTTCATTTATGTTAATGTTCATTCGTTTATTTGAAATACAAATTGAAAGCAGTGCCTTCAAATGTGCTCACTCCATGACAGTGCTCATTATAGTCCAGTATATCCATTTATAATATCATCATAAATTCAGAACAATGACATTAAATGTAGTGTTGTTTTTTGTTCAAATGTTTGCATATCTGTTTGTGGATAACACTAGGATTTAAACTGTTCACAAGATTTTCTCCAAAATCGATCTGGCCCTGTGATTTGAAAACTTTCATTTTTGTTTGTGCTTTACATTAAGGTCTTTAGTAATATAGATAACGCAGTTGCTTGGCTTGGTTTTAAGGAATGGAAAGCCAAAAAAATGTGTGAAATAATTTTTTTTTTGTTTTGTTTTGTTTTGTTTTGTTACATTACCAGAAGATTGTTAATGTATTTATAGTCATAATGATTCGTGTAATACTGGAATGGTAGTGCAGTAATTTATTGTGTTTCATGAATGTATATGCTTTGAAACCATCCAAAAACACATTATTTCTTGTACTGTAGAGGCATCTAGCTAATTGCAGCTCCACAAGTTCACCTTTCTCTGAGCAGCGAGCTCCTGCTTTCCCAATTCTGAAGATTGATGTGATCAGCGAATGTTCACTTCCTTTGATAGGTCCAAATTGTCGACACACATGGCTAGGGGAGCACCAAATGTTTGACATTCAGCAAATAACAAGCAACTCATCCACGCTATTTGGGATTCAGCAAGTAGATGCTTGCTACTTTACAAATAACAAATTTGTGGATCTGCCCTTAGAATAGTGGCAATCCGTTTATCTTATCAGTAGGAATACAAAGATCTATTAATTATTTCTGATGGCGCCTTGGGTCCCCAAAACCATATTTTAATTGATTGAAATCTTCCAAAAAAAGTTTAATTTAAAATCATTTGAATTGCTGGGAAAAAGTAGTCAGGTTTCCATCCAGGGCACTGAGATGCAATGAGTAACACCACTTTTGCTGGAATTGGCATCGCGGAAATGGTCTAACTGAATGATCCATGGGCACAGGTTTCTCAAGTACTACAAGTAGGATTATTTTTATTACTCTTTATTTGCTGTGAATGTCATGCTTTCATTTTCTGTGCAGGAGGGGCTGCAGCTACCGATTTCTCTCCTTCTTCAGCCAATTGAGAAGCAAGAAAGAGATTTTGTGGACGAAATGCAGGTAAAATTAATGTGTTTAAAATATCTAATCAGAACTCTTCAGAATAGGAAATAAGTTCACATAAACTTTTTTCTTTAAGAATTACCAATACAATGACCCTCCAAAATATTGATTTTTCCTCTTGGGACAACTGTATTGTAAAGATAGGTTAGATGGTATGTTAGAACGAGAAATTTACTATTACAGTGGAACTCTGATTTGGTGCACACCTTGTCTCTCACTGGCCTTAGAAACTATGTACCAGCAGTCTGGTGTCATTTTCTCACTAATCATCTGCTATTCCTCATAAAATGCTTCACATGTTGCTTCGACGATTTTTGTTGGCTATTGGCCACTTCGTCAATATTAATTGATAATATAAATATTCTTCGCAATAAAGAAATTATTTATTTTACCATATCAGATGTTTCTATGTGGTTTTGTAGTAATAAATTAATAGTAAATAAGGGGAAATCCATTTCAATGCCATAAACCATTTCAAATAAACTAGACTCTATTGAAAATAAATGATACACAATTGACAGGTGATCAGTTATTTAAGTTATTCCTCTCTGAATCCAAACCTGAAAGAGAATGTCATTTAAATAAATTAAAGCAGAATTAATTTCGTTATGCTGGATGTTATTAATCCTTTTCAATTCAGTGAACCTTCATCCTGCTCCTTGTGTATACAATGCAAATATTCATTCCTGCCCAATATATGGTTTAATATACTGGGGAAACACATTCTATACTTAACAGGATGTTCTCAGCTGTTACACCTTTAGATAAAATCAAAAAATATGTATGAAAACTAAACAAATCTCATCCATGTGATTCTTGAAAGACTGTAAGCTAGGAATAATTACCATTGCCCTACCCGTTGATTAACAAATCAATAATTTTTGTCAAAAATTATATTCTTAAGGGTGGAAACATTTTCAGCCATTAAAGATGTTTGTAGTCACAGCACTGTGTGTAGAAATCACATACATCTCTAGTTAATATCGTCAGCTCGCTACTAGAGCCCTTACATTCAAGCATTTATTTTACCTAAAATAGGTAGGCAAACATTTATTTAAAGGCATTTATTTTTTCTACAATAGATATGCAAAATTGGCATTTATTCTTGTTAAAGTAGAGGGTACAACTCTGGAAACATAGAAAAAGATACATTAGCATTTAGGTGGAAGGAAACTACTTTTTCTCTGAAGAAAGATTTGTCGAAGCAGTTGCTATGAATTTTTCAACTGAGCAGGGACAAAAAAATTTAGGCCACTTTCAAACAGAATTTCATCATTGTTTTTTGCTAGTTACAGAAAATATTTTATTAATGATGATTTTAATACAATTATTATAAAGCTACAATTATTGTTGTTTTAAACATGTTGAATATTACGATGTCTATAAGATTTTTAGTGTATTGTGTAATTTTTCATATGGCCATAAATTTAATTGTTTTTAAAGTACCAATATTGGCGTAAAATATGTATGTAATGTACATCCATACCTTTATGTATGTTACTGCCTTTAATGTAATGGGCATTCATTTAAATGAGTTGGTGTTAAGTTTATTTTGAATGAGTTTGCTCTCGAATGTGTTAGAACTCAATGTGATTGTGTTTATTCTAAAGTTGATTGTGCTTAGATCGAATATGATCATTCATATTCTTAATTTGAATGTATTTGGTCTCTATTTGATGAAAAACATGTAGGACTTGAATTTGAAAAAAATAGTCTAGCTCTTTTATCTTTTATTTTATTACTAGCTGAAGTACTCCACATTACTGGAGTAATTATCGCACTTTATTAGACAGGAAGACGAATTTCTTCTATTCCTATCCTGGGGTGGAGACTATTTCTATTCTATTGCATCCCTTCTCTGCCCTGCCTCACCCTTCTCTACCCTACTCCCATTTGGAAATATCCATTTTTCTTCTTTCACTTTCTCACTAAAAACTATTTCAATTTATTTTATTGGGGTTCCAACCCCAATCTCCATTCACTTTAGAGCAAAAAATACTAAATATTTAATAAAAAAAATTAAATACATGTACTCTTGTATATTCTTTTTGTTGAATATACCAATACTTTCGATCAAGTGCGACAATGTAAAATTTACTCTTTTACATTTCTTTTCTCTTCTTACATATTTATAAAGATAAGTTTGAAAAGAATGTTGTATGCTTCACCGTAGCAAGAGATGTTTAAGTACAAATAAATGGCTGTTAATTTAATTTGTGTATGCATTTTAAGAACTTATTTACACGTTGACTGTCACAATAGTCAAGAAAATGGTGAATCCTCTCGCCGAGCCCTTTTTGTCCGCTTGTAAGTTAGGGAAGGGATTGCTGATTATTCTCGATTGTGTTTCTTTGTAAAAAATTTTAATTCTGTACTGTTTTGTTTTGAGAAACATCTTTTAATTCTCGTGGCCTTTGCACATGTCTTTACGACAATGGCCGTGTGAATCATACGCTAATTCTCAGTAGTGCTTCTCTTCTTGTTCTTGGTTCTTTTGACATTTACAAGTTTAAATTATAATAGTTGTTCATAATATGTAAATAAAGTTTTCGTATTTGAATAAAATCCTCACTTATATTATATTTAGATTTTTCAATAAAAAAAAAAAACCTTTCCCAGAAATCAGGCCATTAGAATCAACACTCGAATCACCTAGGTGCTTTCGAAAATGAAAATCTACAGCTGTATATTTTAAGATGTCTTATCGTATCACTGATTTGAGAAGCAAACACTGCTCTTCATGGCTATTGAAACTCATCATGACTAAGAATCAACTGTTGATGCTCACAGCCATTTGGACCAATTCAGTGAGCATCACGTTATACTTCTCACAGCAGCCAACGTGTAAAGTTGTGTTTGATGGCAAGGAACTATTTACTACTTAGACAATTATAATATCTATGAAAATTTGGGATCTATTATCTAAAGTAACCTCTTTTGTTCTCGTAAAAAAGGGAAGACCTACCTTCATTTCGTCCAAATACCCATTTTTCAGAATTGTTTTACTTCAATTATAGTTCTTGCCATACTTTCATCATGTGTTTCACTTTCCCTCACGCAAATAATGTACTGCTTAATAACCATGCTTAGTTTACTAATGCTAAAGCAATGCAAGTTTTACATGTTTTGTGCAGAAAACATGTGCATTCATACCTTTTTACGACAATATGAAGCACATCCATCAGCAAAAGGCCTGTTTTCAAAAGTTTCACATTTAACGCATCCTGACCTACACGCAATTAAAATCAATATCCAAGTTACTTTTATAAATAGTGTAAATAAAATGTTAAAATCCTTCTTAAATAGGAACATTTCAGATAAGACAATTGAATGGAAAAAATAAGCAGTGTGCTCCTGTTCTATAAATAAGCAATTCCATACTTTGAAGAAGTCAATCATCCTCTGGTGGCATGCAGCAATACTATTAAACATGGATGCAATTTTGAATCTGTGATGTAATGCTATGCAAAAAAAGTTCATGAAAGTAACTATTTTGTAAGGTTTATGGATATAAATTAGAGCCTGTTGTACTCCTGACTTTGAAAAGAAGTTAGTACAATAGTTCCAATGACATTGCTTCAATTCATTTAGAGATTATCGCACTGTAACTAAACACACTTGTCTCTGTTCATGGATTTTAAAAAAATCAGAAATTTATAATATTTAATAAATTGTGTAAAAAACAAAGAGAGTAATAGAGTATTGATTATATAATTATGTCTTTCAGGACTGCTCTAGAGTTGGTCGTGACGAAAACTGAAAAAGAATTGCCTATTGCTTTTGTTGGGAAATAGCAACATTTTAGGGGGAGGCTGTGTGAAACAAAATTGGAGATGTTTGCAATACATTTTTTGATTCAACCTATTGTTTCCTATAAATGGAAATACTCTTAAAAGCCTCACAATAATTGTATTAACTACTTGTGATGAATAATGGAAAATGCAAAAATGGCGAAATTCCTTAAATTGGACTCTTACTATTCTCTTTTGCAATTCCTTGTATGGAATGAGCATAAATATAAGTAATGTTACACCAAACAGACGGTTCTTAAAACTGGTGAATAATGCTTACAAGTGAGGAACTTTTGGTGTGAATTACGAGGGTTGTGCAAGGTTACAGATGTTCCAAATTTTGCTTCGGCTCTCACTACCATGTTTTTATTTACTAATGCTTTGTTGTAGGATCCTCTTGCACCAGGCTGTGAAAGTGCTGCTGGTGGTGTATGTTCCCTAGGTGTGTAGAAATTGTTTTTTTCTTTGTTTGGAAAACCCAGTGATACAAACCAGTGAATGTAATGTGTACTTCCATTGGTTGATGGATAGTGTCATCCGACCCTTTGACAAATCATGGGGATCGTAATGAGACATTACTTGTAATTTTCATAGGATCCAAAATTACTTTGTTGGTTTTGTTAAGCAATTAAGGGCATATGTATCTGATTTCAGTTTTGCACAGGTTGGGAGGGCTTCAACAATTCCATTTCCACATTGAATTGGAAAAGTTTCAGTACGCATTGTGTTGTTTCTTAAATTTCAAATAAAGTAATTGTTTTTGGTTCAATAACATGGAATTTTTGACATAAGTTCTGTTATTTCTCCTATGATGTGAATGATTTTTGTGAAAATTGTGTACTACTCTAGTCAAAAACAAATTTCTAAAGATATAGTGACCAGAACCATTTGTACTAAAGAGTATTTGGGTTGTGGGTGTAAGAATGTCAAAATTTCCTGTTTTAAACTTTTTTGTCAAGATTATACACATTGATTTAAGTATAATTTTCTATTAGTCTACATTTTTAGCAAATATAATCAGTACCAATGTGGACCTAAACAGTGCTACTGCCACAGCTGCTTGCCTTTGTATATATAATTAAATACATGAACTCTCAAAATGAAATACATGAAATCTCAAAATATTATCGTATCAAATATTAAAATTACGTGTCACAAAATTAGAAAGGGTCTTGCTAATAAGCATTTAAGCTATTCGTACATAGTGTGACGTGCGTATACAAAATAATTCACTTTTTGATTTTGATTTAAGAAATTCAGGTTTTGAACCATTAGCCTTCACTACTAAAGTTTATATTCATTTTAAGGGCTCAATTATATATTTTGGTATAAATGTACACCCTTTCACAATCAGCATTGTTCCGGGCATCTACTGATAGCATGCTTTTACCCCTTCATTTGACGTGGTGCGATTTACCACATTTTGGAATCACATAGTTTGTGTCAGTTGTCATTATCTTTATATTTTAATGAAATAATGAGAAAAAATAGTACAATTGAAGGTATCGGCAAACAATGGAATTTATGTTCAGTAAAATTTTTTAAAGTTGACCTTGTTATTAATACTTTCAAATTGGTCCTTTAGCGGGGCGTTTTTTTTTTTTACAGAGAATATCACACTGTTAAATCGCTGTTGTTGCGACTACTATGATAGGCTGTTTGGATGTTGAACTATACAATAGGCACCATAAAACTATTCTGGTTTCAAATTAAAACTTTATTGTATTGCTATTTAAATTATTTTATCAATTGTATAATGATTACTAAAAAAAGTACACTGAACTTTAAGAATTGCCCATCCTAATGTGTTCTCCCGATTATCATAATCCAGTGATTGTTTTTTTGCATCTTTCAAATTACCTTTCATCTTAATAACGCAATAGTTTCTCAACTTTTCCTGGACGGTCTCCACTTTGGAGTTATCATGAAATCTTGTACACCCAATCACTGTTGCTTATCTGAAAGACACCAGAAACGGCTTGGCTCACAGAAATACGCAAACTCCCTGGTTTGTTATTTTTTCAATGCATGGTTTTCTGGTCTTCTTAATGGGAATGCGATGTTACATTAAGACAAAAATTAATGGTCATCTTAAGGGGGTGAAATATATAATTATTCTGTCCATAGAAAACGGGTCTCGAAAAGGGGGGTAGTCTTGTCAAGAGATTTCACTGTACTTCTCAAAGAGTATAATATTCTTAAAAAGAGTATGCTTTGTCCCTCAAAGAAAAAGTTCAAATGTTTATTTAAAGACCTTGTTTGAAAGTATGACACAGGATAGAACATCCGTAAAGCAGAACACGTACCAACATTCTACACTGAATAAAGTCAGAACCATTTGCCTAAGATGAGAAATTGGCACAATCAGCAACAAAAATTACATTGTCATATTATAATGGCTAAATTTAAGAAATCGAATCTAAACTATCAGCACATCATACAGACAAGCAAGGGTAATTTCGCAAATAAATTGAACATCTAGAACTGAAGGCCACACAATGTATTGCACTAGAAATGCATTCAAAAATATGATATTATTACATTATGCACATCTGTTTATATACAGGACTTAATCTTAACTTGCACCCCATGACTGCCTGCACCTGATCTTGTTTTAGCAACAATGACTTTGTCTCTCTTCAAGCCAGCCAAGGCTCGCACATCGAGACGGCACAAAATGTGAGCATCAGGTCATAAGCTGCAGCAACTTTCTGTTTCTGTGTTTTTCCCGATCAAGAATTGAGGGTACCTGGCTCGCGCAGATCAGGGAGAGGGGACAGGCACATGAGTGGGCAAACACATCCCTTTATGTGAATTTAGGGTACCTGGCTTACGCCAGATCTTTTTGCGCAACTCAGAGGCAGGCACAAGAATGGGCAAACAATACATCCCTCTATGCTTAGGAAAAAAATCTGTAATACTGAAGACCTGGAGGGAAGTTGTAATTGATTTATTAACAGCAACGTAACATGTAATGAAAGCTAGCTCAGAGAGAAATCAGAAAAATATCTATTGAAACATTACTGCCAAGCTCTTCATTTATTATAATAATATATTGCTTTTATGGAGCATGCAAATTTAACAAATAAAATCTAGATAAAAAAAATTATTTCTTTAAGATATGGTAAAAAACTTACCTTTAAATAAGTGCTCAAGTGACTACAGAACTATGCTTTCTCTCTCTCTTCCACCTAAAATTAGCCACATTCTCTGAGCCCTGATACGAAATTTGAGGACACACGGCCGGGAGTTGCTAAAAATGGATGTCAAAGGTATTTTATGCGTCGCTAAATTGTCAGGATGGTGTTCCCAGATATTGGTTGCAAGTTAGAGACCTAGTACGTTCTTTCTGACTGTACTGAAGTTGAATATACAATTTTATTGAACATTGTAACATTAACATTAAGTAAATAAAGCCACCTTATCTCTCCCATCATGTCACCGCTTGATGTATATGTGCAAAAATTTGAGCAGTTTCTGAAAAAAACAATTGTTTTAATTTAAAAACTGCCTATGTGTGACGCGAAATTACGCAAAAAATATCATGTTCGAAAAATTAAACATGACCTTATTTGAAGAACACATTTAAGTTAGAGCAAAACTTATCTTCATAATTGTAGTTGTAGGAAGACACCGAAGAAATTCTACATTTTTGCAATTTTTAAAAAATCTGGGTTTTTAACGAACATTAGACCTGCACCATTCCTTTAATCGTCCTTTACGCTATTCGATGACAAAATTTAATCATAACAATTGGTGCAGATTTTGAGAAAAAATCGTTAAAACAAAATTAAAAATTGCCTATATTTCACGCAGAATTACACAAGTTATCAACTTTTCGAAAAATTATACATATTTCGAGATCTGTCTTTACAAAACATTTCATTAAGGACAAATCTCTACAATACTTTTGTTGTAGGAAGACGCCTGAAAAATTGGAACTTTTGCGATTTTTGAAAAAATGCAGGATTTTAACGAAAATGAGATTGCATCATTCTCTGAAACATCGCAGGGGCTTCATGTAAAGTACCGTCAAAAATGAAAATAAGGGTTTCTAATTCAAGGGGCGATGACTTAAGCCAGAGATTGATGGGGGAATATCAATTTTGGAGAAAATAGGCAGAACGGTTTAGCCGCTAGCGTTGATCACAGGTAGAGGGTCAGACTGACAAAAGTTTTTCCAACAGCCAAATTTTCTATATAATGGATCTACAAAAATGGATTCTGACAGCACAAAGTGTTAGAGGAAGAAATTTACAATATGTGTGGATTAGATTTATCCACCTTTTCGTTACCAAATCCCGGCAATATAGACTTTTTTCTTTCGAAAATTCGCCGTTTTCCTCCCGCAATATTACAATTCTTTCTCAATATCGTGTAAGCAGTAACGAGAAAATAAAAAAATTGCATTTCCAGGAGAGAGAAAATAGGTCCAAATTTTCTATTCCAGCTAAATAAAATTTATGGCATTTTCACAAATTTCCAAGTTGTTTCTTAGGTAGTGTCGTTAAAATTTCAGGAAAGATCTTATCATTCGGGTGCCATCTCAGAACGGCAATGTGCTCATAATGTGAATATATATGGCATTAATTTTGTCGTCTTTGGCTAATAGTTCTGCTTTCAACTTAAATAATTAATACTGGTACATGCTTCGAACATGAGAATAAAATCCTCGTCACATGTTCAAACAAGATTAGATAAACATTAAGATTTTTCTCTATGTTTAAAAAAAAATGTCCAAATTATTAAAGAAGTTTACAAAAAACATACACGCCAGTAGTGTAAGCAGTACTTTTAAATGGTTAGTATGGAATTGGAGATTTTTATATCCAGCTCAGAGAGACCAAGTAAAATTGAAACCCAAACGCAAAATATGGCAATACATCATTTACTACAATTGCTGTACAGTGTTTCTAACTAGGTTTTAATTTTTAATACCATTGTTATTTGTTGACAGATCGAGAATTACACGGCCTCATCCCCACCAACACGAGTGAAAACCCTTTTCAATGTTCCATCTATGAGAAGAGCTTCAGTGTTAAAGGCAAATTGCGTAGTCACGTTCGAACCCATGCAGAAAAATTATCTTTTGCCTGTTCAATCTGCGAGAAGAGCTTCAGAAGGAAACCATTATTTCTAAAGCATTTGCGCCACCACTCCGGTGATGAACCTTTTCAATGTTTTATCTGTGCAAAGAGTGTGAGAGTTGACAGTTTGCAAAATCACTTGCGCACCCACTCTGCAAAACCTTTTCAGTGTGCCGTATGCGCAAAGATCTTTACTACGAAATGGTACTTCAAAAGGCACATGCTCATCCACTCTGAAGGGAAACCTTTTCAGTGTACCATCTGTCAAAACGGCTTCATTGAGAAACGGGTCTTAAAAATTCACATGCTCATCCACACTGATGAAAGACCTTTTCAGTGTGCCATCTGTCCAAAGAGCTTCCGTGAAAAAGGAACGTTACAAATTCATATGCGCACTCACACCGGAAAACCTTTTCAGTGTGACGTCTGTGGAAAGAGATACTGTACAAAGTCATCGTTACACCTTCATATGCGCTCACACGATGATGAAAAAACTTTCCAGTGTGCCGTATGTGAAAAGAGCTTCCATCACAAAGGAACATTAAAGGACCACATGCGCACTCATACTGGGGAAAGACTTAACTGCTCTACCTGCGGTAAGAGCTTTAGCAACACTGGAAATTTAAATAAGCACATTCGAACACACATTGGTGAAAAACCTTATCAGTGTTCATTCTGTGAAATGCATTTTATTGTAAGAGCAGAATTACATAGTCATGTGCGCGTTCACTCTTCATTATTCTATTTGTGAAAAGAACTTTGCCCCTAAGGGAAGTTACGATTGCATTTGCGTACCCACACTAATAATAAACATTTGCTTACCCACCCTAATAAACCTTTTCAGTGTTCTATTTGTCAAAAGACCTTCACACAAAAAGCAACAATAAAAATCCATTTATGTACCCACAGAGGTGAAAAACCTTTTCTGTTTGTCAGAAGAGCTTTCTACGAACACATGACACATGCACACTCACAGATGAGAAAACTTTTCTGATCGATCTGTGATAAACATTTTTCCGGTACCGACGAGTGATGTTTCAGACGCTTGTTGAAGTGACATGAATAAAACGTAAGATTTCTGTGTTACAATTTTGCCTTTAACGAAATTATTTAGTGTTCTGTGGAAAACCTACCTTTCTGATATAAATTACTCTAATGATATGGTAATAGTTTTTTTCAGCTCTAAAAGCCATTTTCTGTATGTACTAAACTTTTCTGTTGCATATTAAATTGAAAGTGTGTTCAGTGGGTTTTCAACCCAAATAAAATGTATGTATTGTAATGACGCATTCGTGGTTTTCTTTAATGAGAGTTGTAACTACGTGACCAGTCCTGTCGCGGTGGGCTGTCCACCGGTTTCAGGGAGGGCACTCAAGTATTTCTTTCACCAGTCATCTTTTTCTTCCCCTATCATTCATTCTTGTTCTTTTACAACATCCTGTCTCTTTTCTACTACCCCTTCTATTTCAAGGCCCCTGCCCTGTATTCTAAATGCCCATCCAGTGTTTGCCGTGCATGGCTACTTGTGTGTAAGGGAATGTATGTCCTGGCAATTGAGGGACCTGTTTGATTCCCAACTACTTGCGCAACTTTCTGCTTTGCACCTAAGGATATGTTATTTACATATTTTTGGGGACATGCCTTGTCGGTTTTCAACACCTTTGCTTTGGCCTTGGACTCTTCTAGACGAGCAGTTGGGTCTCACTCCTGAACAATCGGCTCTGTCTAAGTCTTGTACTCCAGGGTAAGCAGGGTGATCCTCGGCGGGGCAGCGCTGGCATCCCCCCTCTATATCTCCATGGCAACTCTGGCACTCTTATAGAGTGTCCCCCCGTTGAGCTCCGTGGTGGGTGGGGACAACAGGGATGAATCTTATATCCATCTCCTTGGATACTAAACCTTCTCCCCTGCCCTCTTCTGCAAGGAAGAGGAGATATCTAGAAAGAACTATCAATTTAAATAATTTATTTTCTGAAGCCGAAGATGGACCGAAGAAGCCTTGTTTCCTCATGGCATGCACCGAGGAAGAGAAAGCATTTAAAAACGTGAGTGTTGTCTGTTTTGCATGAGCCATAGAGGAAGCATACGGAATGCCCTAAATGGTTGTGCGACAGAGGAATGGAACGATTCTTTTGAAGCACGTACCGATGAGCAGATAGATAAATTACTGAAAACCAATCAGATGGCTGGCCTCCAGGTGGTAGTGAGGATGCACCCAACTTTGAATCTCTGCAAAGATTGCAGTAGAGGGCCACGAAGACTTTGCTTCGGAAAACGAGGAAGGGTGTATTACATTTTTCAAGAGTCAGGGCGTGACTGAAGCCTTGTGAAGAGAGGCATATGCAATTCCACAATAATGAACAGCTTCATGGTCTGTGTGCCAAAAGAGTTTCAAGTATAAACATTGTTTGGTAAGGCACATCCACCACCCAATCCCTTATGAATGTTCAGTCTGCCAAGAGAGCTTTACACAAAGAATTCATTTACTTGCATATATGCAACTTCACACCAATGAGCATCCGTATAAATGCCCAGTCTGTCAAAAGATCTTCAAACAAAGATGTAGTTTAATTAAGCATAAGCGAGCCACAACTTTGAGCGCCATCTGCCAAAAGAGATTTGCAGTTAGAAGTTCATTCACATAGGATCCGTAGTGGTGAGTGACCTTGTGAAAGCTCTCTCGGTCACAAGAAATTCAAACTGAGATGTATTTTAGTTAAGCATATGGGAAACAACAGCAGTAAAAACCTCTGTGATTGCCCTGACTGCCAAAAGATCTATGCTGATAGAAGTAATTTAGTTTCACATATGCAAATCCACAGAGAGTTGCAACAACTTGTATGAATGGTTTTCTTTGCTCAAGAATATTTGACCAAAAGCTAATCGAAAGGAGTGAACAACATGTGAGAACCTTCCAACAGGATGTGAATGTTGTACTCTGACACTGTTACTTGAAGAACATGCAATGAGCACTGTTAAGAAGGGTAGTGTTATCAGTGGAATACTCTTGCCGTAAAGGAACTACTTAACACTAACGCGAGGTTGGTGTTCTGAATTGCAGATTATTCTCACAGATTTTTTGCACATTGTTATATATGTACATTCTGTATAGATAATACTATATAAATATATATTATTTTTGTAATTCTCTATGTATGTTGTGTTTTATTTTATTATTACTATCTATATCTACTCAACCCCTTCCTTGTGTACATTGTAAATAAATGTTTTGAAAGTGAAATTGTTCCTGACCATTTCAAAAAAGCAGAAGTGATTCCCATTTATAAAACAGGTGATGAAAAGAAGGCTACAAATTATAGACCTATATCATTGATATCAAATTTCGCCAAGATATTTGAAAAGGTAGTTAAAGCAAGAGTGTTAAGTTTTATTTAAAAACAAAATTATTAATAAATTCCGATTTGGCTTCCAGGAAGTCAAAAGTACGGAAGATGCGATTAAATTTATTACAGATGAAATCAACTACAGTATCGATGAAAACATTCCTTATTTGACTATCTTCTTAAATCTTGCTAAGGCATTTGATACTGTTAATCATGAGATATTGTTGAACAGATTATATAAAATGGGATTTAGAAGCACTTCTTATATAATCTATTTAAAAGCAATTTGACGAATAGAAAACAGGTGGTCAAAATAAATAACATTATTAGTGAGGAACAAATTGTAACCTGCGGTGTTCCACAAGGTATTATATTGGCACCCATACTTTTTTTATTACACATAAACAATATTTTTGGAATATTGACTCAAGGTGAATTGGTATAATTTGCAGATGATACAGCTGTAATAATTAAAGGCAAAACATGGCATGAGGTTCTCGGGCGAGCCGATCAAAATATGAAATTGATAACTACATGGCTAAAAGATAATTATTTAAGACTCAATATCCAAAAAACCGTTTAATGTAACTTATTTTAGTTATCAAGATAGCATTCATGTCGATTGTTCGAAAAATACATAAAATTTCATGCGACTACTAATTATTGTTGTCCTGATATGAATAGAACATCGAGTTGCTAAGTATTGGGGATCTATATTGATTGTAATTTCATGGAGTTCTCAAATTCACCAAATTGTAAAAAAGGTTAGATACTTGATTTATTTTTATAAGTGAGGACTTATACTGCATTCTGAGCAATTTATGTCTGTATACTATGCATTGTTTGTCCATAGCACCTATGGTATGTAGCATGGGTGTGGAGCCTATGATAATAAATGAAAGCGTTAGTGATATACAGAACAAATTATAAGTATCATGTATAATAAAAGCAAACTATTTCCATGCGGAAATAATATTTAGAGAAAATAAAATAATCAGCGTGAAGAAATTTTATATAGAAAAAGCGTTATTAACAAACTGCGAGTCTATGTATACTGATTATAAAACTATTACAGCAACAAAGAGTAATACCGATATTACGAAAAAAATTCATAAAGAAATTAGTAAACGTCAGCATTATTATATTTGTTACAAAATATTCAATACGTTGAGTACAGAACTCAAAAACTGTGATGTTAATACACGAGGACAACGAAAGCGTATCAGATCCTGGATTATTGATTTGAATGATTCGGTAATTCAATCATTCTATCAATCCATGCAGTGACTAAGGAATAATGTCTGAATATGTCTCAAATTATATTATATTTTATAATATTTTTCATTTTATAATTTTCATTTTTCCTTAATTTTGTTTTTTCTTAAAAAATTGATAAATGAAACAGGTAGACAGACATATATGATACATGATTAGTCATTACAGGTTCTCGCACAAGACTATGTCTTATGCAAAATAATGTCAACATTATTTGTACTTTGTTACAACCTGTAAATAAATAAATATAAATTCTTTGTGTGCATGCACTTGTAACAATAGCTGTGGCAAGTATTTGGGACTTACAAGTTTACTTTTTCCTGTTTCTTGGAATTAGTGTTACAATTGTAGCTCATTGATGACATCATATTTCATGCCTATTACTTCAGCTGTTGTTTACAGTATTCACATCATAGTAACAAAGAATTTTTTATAGCCAGACAACTTTTATTAATGAGATAATCCTGTAATAAAGAATAAAATAAAATTAGTTGGATTTTTTTTTGGACATCAATGCAATGCCAATTTCTGATCTTGATTTTAAAAAATGTCATTGGAAATCACAGAGTTCTAACTGATTGTTATCTTCCTGCTGTGAAATATCACTAGTCATAGGGTTGTTAAAAAAGAGATGTTGCTGCATTTCATTGAAATATAAAAATCGTTCATTAAATAACTCCAAAAGCATACTTGAAGCCAGAATGCAAAAGCTGAAATCTGGCTGTTTTCTTCCACAAGTTATTTGCATGTTGAAAAATGAATTAGATTTGTTTTTCGATGGTGGAATTGAAAATTTTCTGGCCACTTGCAAACGCCCAACTAACTTGAGTATGGTTTGATTTCGACCCTGTAACTTCAAATTCAGCTAATATACAAAGACTTTATAGGCCTTATGCAAATTGAAGCATCCTGGCACAATGCAATAATGGGGATGAGAAAGTATGAAGTCAGTCATCAAGGTGACCTTCCAATGAGGCTGGTCATTAATCTGACTGAGCTCATTCAAGATCAGAGTTATATCTGTTATAAAAGCTAAGTTAAAAAATGTGAAGCAAGAACATACTAGGTGTTTTGACACCCATACTGACAGAAATTCGTTTTTTTGTAGAAAAGAATGGTTTTAAGCAGTTTCCTTTGCTTAACCAGGGTATTTCTGTGAATAGGGTCAAAACACCATACACTGCCTCCAGTTCTGTGTATTTGATTATACATCACATGATGGGGATAACATGTATACGTTGTTTGGTCTCCCAAACATATTTACGAAAAATGTGTGCATTTTGATAGAAGAATAAAATATTAACGTAATATTTTTCAATATGTTGCGGGCTGAAAGACGGTCGCGGACCGCCAGTTGTCCATCCCTGAAGTATAATAAAGGACAATAAATTCAAAATTAAATTCAGGTTCTGCTTGAATTTAACAGTCATTCATCAAAGAAGTCAATATCATTGCACAATTGATGGGCCTCGCACAAAAGTCTGTTGAATACATCATTATATATATAGTGTAAACATATATGAAAAGGTTGTTGAATTCTGTGGTTACGTTGCCGAGCATAAAGTCACAGTTTTAGAAAGAATAGTTGTTCATATCGCCAGATATAATGGAGTGTAAAAAGATGTGATACGGTCATATTGCTAGCAGTCTAGGTATACTCCTTGTGTCAGAATATTCATGTAGAAGTGATCTAGTCTTGATATAGGGTTGTTGACAATAAATGCCAAATGTCTCAATGGATTCTTCATACAGTGTGGATGAAGTCTCAATATAAGGTGGCCAGACAACCACTGCAAGTTCCAAAATGCACCGCACAAATGCGAAACATAGTAATTTGAAACTCTTGGATATTACGAAAATCTTTCGTATTCCATATCAGGAATCTCAGCTTTTTTGCCTTGGCTCATATACGGATTGGACTAGCGCCTGAGAAGCAGGCAAACTCGTTTTGTCGTAATAAATTTCACATGAGGTTCTTCAAGAATCGAACTCGGAACCCCAGTAACAAGAAACCTTGCTACTGAGCCACGAGAACACGGGTTCGTGGTTCGATTCCCGTAGAATCTTAAGTGAAATTTGTTGGGACAAAACGAGTTTGCCTGCTTCACAGGCGCTAGTCCAACCCCTGTGAAGCGTCATAAACCTTACCCCTATCCTTATTCCTTCACAATTCTGGCGATGGGTAGATGACGAAAGGAGCTTGTAAAGACGCTACCTATCGGCGATTCCCTGACGTGACTTGACTACCCAGCGGCCCCTAGAGGGTGTCGAGTGCGTAATAACGCAAGATTACTCCACGGTGCGCACAACTCTTCTTAAGAAGCTAGGAGACGCGTTGCGTCTGTATAGACGCAACAAATTTTTAAAAAAATTGCTCTCAAAACTAACAGAATTTCATCTCTAGGAATGGATTTAATACAACTATGCCCTGAAAAACATCTTCAAACACAGATTATAAGTGAATGAGGTATAGACAGGTAGGCCTACATAGCTACTAAGACCAATGACTGAAGATACACATAGACGGATCTAATCTTAGGTTTTTGTAATTTATCAATTAAATATAAACTATTTTGAATTGTCATTGTCTAACAGAGGCTTCAAAAGTATTAAAAAATTTACCAAGTTGATAAGAGAATCCAATGACAAACAACATTGCCTGACAGGATGATTTTCTTTATGTAGTTTAATTACCCATAAGCATAACCTAAATTGGAGGTCATAGGATAAATCCAATTATAATCAGAAGTAGAAATGTATTCATAATTTCTCGATTGTTTAACACTTGCTTTGACTTCCATTCGTACATTTGTTGGCAGAAGTATTTTTTTACCTTTTCAAAATACTCTTCATTTTTAAATTTGCCCTCAACTAAGGCTACACATTCATTTTTACTTATAGCTACAAAAGCTACATCTTAATTACATTTAACTATTTTTATATGGGAATTATGTTGCAGAAAAAGTTCATTTAGTTTCAAATTCCACAAGGTTGTATGATCATTCTTATTTAACTTACGCGTTTTTAAGAAAAGAATTTTAGAACTCCTATAAACCTTCCAACGATATTCATGCCAGTCTTAATGATCAAGCTCCGTACATTTGTTCATTAGAAGTCACGGTTAATGACATTTCGTAAAATAAATGAACTTGATCCGAGCAAGAGAGAAGTACCTGATGGAGTGCCGTCTATTTTATTACAGGAGTATAATTATATGTTCTATATTCAGATCTCCTGTTGACTGTTGCGTCTCGGGAGAGCAAAATGCTGGGTCACGAACGCACACGAGAATAGCCGAGCGGTGTAGTCGAGTCAGCCGATCGGACTTCCATGGCAAGAAGCTTTAACTCCACATCTGGCAGAAATTTAATTTTTTTATTAACAGTGGTCGTTAATGTAATTGACCAAGCAGGAGGGGGAAAAATGGATGTTTTCTTGCGACACATAAAGAAGTGATGAGGTGAGTATTTGGCGAAAATGCGTTAGACTCAATTGTAGTGCGATATTTTTTAACTGTGCACCTGAGCCCTGTCTTCACATTGGCATTATCACTGTATTTCGTGTCTTTCTCGGCGTGCCGTTAGATGTCGCATGATCGTGACTGCATCAACCACTACTTGATACGGTCGCGATATCTAGCGGCACGACTGAGAAAGACGCGAAATGTAGTGGCACAATGGCAATGTGAAGACAGGGCTCAGGTGAATAGTTAAAAAAATCGCACTATATGTGTTATGTTAATGCAAGGACTGAAGGACCGCGCCTTGCAATCAATTTTGTCTCGCGTTGCGAAGCGTCACAATTCTGCGGGAAAACTTCGTGCAGAACGCTCGGCTGCCTTCATATACATTCGTGTCGTTGTTTACGGATGGACAAACGTTTTGTTGTAAATAAATATTTCGGTACCAAGGACCAACAAAACATGGATTCTGACTACACAACGTGGAAGTAATTTATTACATAGGAAGTAATTTATTACATATTGGAACCAGTTTTATCCCCATTTTTGTTACCAGGGAACGGCAATAAGAGTTTTCTTCTAAACATTTTCCGGTTTCGTTTAAGCATTACACTCTTTCTGTTTTCTGCGGAAGTAGTAAGGGGACAAGAATCAAGCAGGAAAGATAGCGCGCTGTCTGTGACTAGTTTGTTGTGTTTCTGCTCCGGACTTAACCTGGTTTTGAAAAATAAAATAAAAAAAAGTCGGAGAACTATCGATTAGAGTAGCTCGCTGGTGGAATTATCCAGACACTAGTTTGGATCGATCAGTGTCCAGCGAATGTCGAAAATCTGCCAATGGCGGGACTCAAAGCAAGAAAAGTCTTAGAGACTCCGGCAAAGGTGTCTCAGGGCATAAACTGATGTCACTACACTGCATGTGACCCGGAGCAGGGTTCGATACGCCGTTGGCAGGATTTTCGACTCTAGCTAGATCGAATTCAGTCGCTGTGTGGAAGGGTATTCTAGCGGCCGGCTGCTCTGGTCGGCAGTTTCCATCAACACCAGGCTAATGCCGAAGCCGTAGTACCCTAACAAACGTGTCACAGACCACGCGCGATCTTTCCTTCCTCTTCCTTGTTCTATAATACTCTTTCTTGCACACACACACACACACTGACATGCACTACAACATCACACATATCGGAAGAATGGTCGGGAGCTTAGAGCTGGTCCCGCCTGGGTGGGGGATGGGGGGGCCTGTTGGAAGATACCTCGTTGGGGAAAACCCCGCTAGCAGACGCCGGATCTCGCCATCCTCCGGGGAACACATGCACCACCCTTACTGGACTAATGACCTTAGCAGTTGACGCGACCGGAATCACCAATCAATCAATCAATTGGACAGAGACTCTGCGCTGGAAACACAGTTTGAGATACGGTTGAGTCTATCCACAGGTGTTTTTGATACAACTTGGACTTTTTTTTAGATTTTTAATTTGAATTATGTATGCCTCTGTAAATAATAATAAACAATTTACAATCCTACACGCTGGTAATCACGTAACAAAAACCTGCAAGTAATAGTAGGTTAATTTATTACTTTGATACTGATGAAATATTAAATTGAATGACAACGATTTATTTTCAGCTGGCCTGAATGGCCGAGGTCACTAAGGCTGAGGAGATGTTGTTGCCTTGACTGGAAGGTTTGCGGGTTCGAATCCCACCCCGGGCACTGATGTTTGTGTGTTTGTGTTGTTCTTATGTGTTCCCCTTACAGTTTCCCTAATGTTAAAATCACAGTGGTCGCTTTATCACCAAGCAGTAAAAACCGACCTTAAATAAAAATAATGATAAATTTCGAAAAATTGTAAATTTTATTATTTTTTTAAGTTACAGCAGTATTTATCTGTAGAAGTACAGAGTAGTAATGGTAACGCAGAAACGTTTACAATCAATTAGGACAAAATGCAATTTTTTATGTTTATTTCGTAATTTATGGTCAAGATTTAACAAATAATTATTAACCACAATTAACCAATATTAACACCGCAGTAACACAATAATACAAAAATGTTGTGTGAACGATTGTTTCTCAACACTCTTTGTTTGCCTCCCCCAAAATTGTGGGAACCCTTTCCCCTCAAAAAATATTTTTATGCACCCTATTCCTTGATTAAAAAGGAAAACTAGAAGTCCTTTCTCGCTTCGAAAACTGTATTTTAATATTCCCTGTTGCCTGATTAAAAAGATAATAATTGAAATCATTTCCCCCTTCGAGAAAGTATTTTATGTTACCTGTTGCTTGATTAGAAAAGAAATTTTAATATCCTTTCCCCTTGAAATTATTTTTATGCTCCCCATTGCTTGATTAAAAAAAAACTAAAATCCTTTCCCCCGCTGAAAAAAAATTATGCTCTCTATTGCTTCATTAGAAAGAAAAACTTGATGTCCTTTCCCCCTTGAAAATATTTTTATACTCCCTATTGCTTGATTAAAAAGAAAAAATGAAGTGTTTTCCCTCTTTCAAAAAAGTGTTTTTATGTTCCTTGTTGCTTGATTAAAAAGAAAAATTCCACGTCCTTTCCCCCATTGAATAAGAGTATTTTTTTATCCGTTCAATTGTCCATTGTTTGATTAAAAAGCGTTCCATCGCTTTCCTGGCCGTGGCGCTGCGATCGCGTAGAATCGAGAAAAGTCGAACCGCGCCCTAGCCTTTCTCCGGCGAGAAGAGCTGCGCCTCGCCACTTGCCGTGAGCGCGGTGGTGGTGAGCGGGCGTCGCAGCCATCTTGTTCAGGTGGGTTTGATGAATGTACCAAATGTATGGTGTATTTCTCGCGCACATTTTCTTGAGTTGCAGAATTCTACTCCTCTCTTTTACCATGCATATTTGGAATATGAAATAGTGATAGCAGTGTGCGGATTTGGTAAAATTCTATAATAAAAAAGGTTCTCTTTCTGGGTAGAAATCCTTCTTATCGTTACTCGATTAATTGGATCATAGTTTGCTAAAGGAAATGGTGGAAGTTTAATATTACTGCGAATTAAATAACTAATCTTCCAAACTCTTGCCTATAAAATTAAGCACACAGATCGTTTAGATAAGTGTTGTAGGAATTGACGAGGCCTGTTTTCAGTAGTTAAGAGTATCTTAGGAGAAAGGAAATCCAGCGAAAAGATTTTTCAGCAGCTTTGCCACAAACTCAGAAATATGAATCGGAAACTGGTTTTAAAAAAAATTTACAAAAGAAAATTGCCTTTAAATAGAATGCTAATGAAGGCCACGTTTGCTGTGTTCTATATATTTGCTCTCAGGCACCTTGGTTGTGCAACAGATAACTCGCATGCATTATATTACAATATTTCTATATTTTGTAATGTTATAAAAATGATCTGCTTAGAAATCCACATTTAGAATTTCTATTCATTTAGTTCGTGAAGTTATAATTTAAATTTGTTTAAACCAATATCGAAATACTTTATTTTCTTTTGTACTTTTTGTTCTGCAACTTATTTTTGTTGGATTAGTGAAAGGAATTTCGTAAATTTTCTAACCGAAAACCTTGTTCGTAACAGCAAATATTTTAGTTTTAGTGCTTAAAATGTTAGAACGTTTTACCAAATAAGTAAATAATCCCAAAACCATTTTTAATTCTGAAATTATAAGCAAGTTACAGAAAAAAGCGGGTGAAAAATTCGTATAAAATGTTTTGTTCAGAAGTAAATAAAAATGTTTTGGTAAATCGGAAGTTGGTGTCTCGGTTCACATGCGCGGAATAGTAATGCTTCGCTATGCGTGTCCGAGTTGAGGGCGAGGCTCGGGCCTTCGGCCCTTACGTTAACATAAAACATCCTTGGCTGAAGTATAGTATGCGGTACAACTTACGGAAGTCTTTTTAAACCGACACTTCGTGCAGCTCCGGCGGAAAGTTTGAATTCTGGGGGCTTTCTTAAGATGCTTTTATAAAAAAAAAGTGAATTGGTAATTACGCGGTGGATAGACTCAAGGATGTTTATAGTTAACGCACGAGCCGAAGGCCCGAGCCCCGCCGTGACTTGGATCCGGGCGAGCGAAGCGAGAAAACTTGCCGTTGGAAGTAAATTGGCAGTACAATACGGCGGTGACAACGCGTATGAAGGTCAAAACGAGAAAATAGCCTATTCGTAATTCGTATCAGAGCGCGTAGCGTAATTTGAAGGAGGGCTTAACGCGAACCCGCCCCCACCACGGTTCTGAGGGTGTACCGTGTACCCTACTTTAATCGTATCCTTGGTTTTGTCCAACATTTAATTACCAACGCATTTTATGCGAAAACTCATTTTAAAAATCATTTGGCGGGTATATGTATATGATCCGCGCGGGTGTCAAAGAACCAAAGTCACCGGGACATCGCAAACTTCCTATCAGTCAATGTTTTAAAAGAATTAACAAAATGAATTTAAATGAATCTTTGCTAACCAGTCGCGAAAACTTCCGCTTTTGTCTTCGAAATTTCAATAAATTCTTGGAAATAAATTACGAAACATTGTTCTTTCTTGGAAGAGATGTTAAATGTAAAGGAAACCTCTATATATTCTAATGGAACTTTAATTTAAGAGTATTCCGTTCTTTTCTTATGTCTCGAGTGATCTGAAGCTTTGTCAGGCTGTAGTAGAGAAACTATAACATCCTACAATGATAGGTGGTAGCTTTGACATTTTCACTTGCTTGCTTGCGTTTTTCTTTGTTATATCGTATGAATGCCAGTGCAATAAAGGCGAGGGCAAGGATTCTCGCAGTCTCGCAGCACTCTGTCCTTGAACATTTCCGAATCACCGCAAAGAAATTACTGCCGTGACTGTGCCACGTTGATTTGATCTTTGGCCGTGAACTTTAAGGAAGACTATAGGTATTATTGAAGTTTTCCGAGGTTCTGGTTTTCTTTTTCGAAAACTAGGAAACTTTAATCGAACGCATTCAACTCTCTTGCTAGAGTTGAAAATTAAGATATAAAGAAACATTGAATTGAATTATTACGTAATATGCAGTTGATTTTTTAAAATTCTGGTTGATAATATTCTGGCAAGGAAAATAGAGGAAATAAATACATAAACTTTCAGACAACTTTTTGCTGCTAATTTCGAAATTAACAATTTCTGATTCCCCGCTAGTGTCCTTTTACACTGACAAACATTTCTTTTGAGTATACATAGTGATCGATGGCATATTAACCATTCTGAAAACTGTATTGTGGTGATCGTTTGAGCAATATTGTTACATCATTCTAATGATTTTCACTTTGTTTCAGGACTTTCAGGAACTTTATCTGAAATAATGCTACAATGCAAAAACTGAAATCTGGGGGTAATCCCCCCATATGACGTTCGGAGAGCGAATAATTAATGCTGCTCCTAGGACTGGCTCACCATCACTAGGGCTCACTCAACGCACCTATGCTGGCGGTTGCGGGTACGTACTGAATCGCTAGCATGCAGCTCGCTTCCTAGCGCGTTTCTAGTTTGTAATAGTTGTATGAACATTAACCCCGCACCAATGGTGACCGATGGGTTGCCAATTAGGAGGAGCGGCATGTATGGCCGAACTATCTCATACATTTTGTATGTTTGTATGTACGTGGCGCGACAGCCCGTGAACGGGCTCAGGCCTACCGGCGACGTCCCTGCCTCGCGGCCATGGGTTACGTGGGTACGTGTGGTTAGCACGTAGACATCCCCACGCCGAATTCCAACCTGAGAAGTGAATTTTTTCATCGTCACCCAGCAACTTACACTGGGGAACAACGAAAACGCACGCTATATTGCCTGACCGGGAATCGAACCCGGAGCCTCGTAGTGAAAAGCGAGCACGCTGTCCAGGACCCTATCACATACATTTTCCCTTTTCAAAATATTTCTTGAAAGAGGAAAATTATAGTAGCATGTAGTGTACAGCCGATTTGCACGCATCGAGCTATTAATTCTTGTCTAATCAAATTTTTAATTTGATAACGGAAAAAATACAACTGTGCTCACACGAAAATAAAATATTTTTAAAAACATTTCCAGCAAACAGAACAGTAATTTATGAAATCAGGAGTCGGTATTTTTAGCGAACTAGGCGTGGACTTTGCCGAGCAAACCGCAATAGCACCACGCCGCCCTCAGCCAACTCCCAGTACCCCTACTCATCGGCAAGCGTACACTGCATCGCATACACCGGGCGGCCTCGCTTTAGTCTCAGTTTCTACCCATTCCAAAATCTTTAATCGTTCCCTCAAGCGGGCACATAAAACTAAATGCGTCTTTAAAATTGCGCTGGTGGTATGCGCATATTAAACGAGTAGATTTTTGCAAGTTTAATACTTTCTGTAAATTTTCCCGAGGTTGTTTTTTTAGAAAGGGTGTTGCTATAGAGTCCTTAGAGAGCAATCGACACTGCTCAGCATCGTAACACAACTCCGCGGTTTATTATCAACGGAGCATAGTTTTTTTGCGAAAATATATTTGCGTATTCTATTCCAATTCATTCAGTAACGCAATTTAATTTTATTGTAAAACTCTTAATAGCCATAGTTGTAAGAGGAAAATCAAAATGTCTAGTACACTTCACCCACAGTAAAATAATGCTTTCTGGTAGTATTAACAACGTCGTGCGTTTTCACATCGAATTTATTCGACCTAGTGTAGAGTACAATAAAAAGCGAGGCGTCAGTTTCATGGGTACTGTTTCTAGATATAGCCTAGTTCTAAGAGAATTGGTCAAGTACCATTCACTCCAGTGAAGCACTAGTTTCTGGTAGTAGTTGAAACCTGTCATTTTCACTTTGGATTTTACTTAATTTCGAGCATATTATAAAATGTTTGGTTTTAAACTTAATGGGAATGGCTGTAAATGTGTCAGGCGTGGTTTAGCTGCCTTAGGCGATCGTATTTTGCCCTTGCCGCAGAGGTCACGGCCACTTTCACAGCTGACGCGGGCAAGAGAGGTTAATTAAAAGCGGAATCGTTGCTGTAGTTCGATAAGTGAACAAAGTAGAAAACTCATTTTTTTATTCCTCGAATCAATTTATTCAGTGCTGGTCTGCGTGTCCGGTCATTGCGATGTTCATGATATATTCCATTCAATTTCTTTTTATTCCATTCTTTGACTTTATGGCAAATTATGTGTGGCCATGCTCCGTATTCTGGCATGAATTGTTTCGTAATTTTGTAAAACAAACAAATATGACTTTAAAAGTTACTTCCACTAACCCCATGTATTGCTTTAGAGTTGTGTGAGCGTATTTTGAATATTTAGTCACAAAACAAATTAATTTGCAATCGGAATTAACAAATTATGCAACCGGCAAGGTCACGCATCACACTTAACTTGTCTCAAAAATCTGTAGTCCTATAGAATAGTCCTAAGAGCTTTTTTGTTACAGAGCTCGTTATATATTTATTAATGTTCCTCTTCTCAAAAAATGCAACAAACTCTTCTTACATTTTCCACAATTAATTTAAATTGTTAATACTATTTCGCATTTCGTATTTATTTACATTATGATATTAAATATTATTCATATACATCACATCCTTTGATACTGCCTTTTTTAATCTTTACTTTCCTTTCTTGCGGTTAAATACTTTAATTTTTAATTTGAGACGAACTGGCGAATTCCAATAAGCTTACAATACACCGAAGATATATGACCGTAGTTTTGTTTGCCAATTTATAAGAAACCTCCGGCTGAAAGGTTTCTACGTATATTACATCATTCAAAACTGATAATCGCCACACACATTGTAACTGCACTTAACTCGTAAAAGAATGGGTTAATCCTTTGAATATGTGTTTTCGTATCTACAAAAGACAAGTTTTGGGGGAGGAACAGCTAGGAAACGTGTGGGGAAATGAAGGCGAAGTTACGGGAGAGGCGGGACAAGTGTAGCCTGAATTATTTCCTAGACAGAATTTTACAAAATGAGAATTTGTGAACATTATTTCATTTAAAAAAAGATTTTGGGTGCCCCATACTATAGCGTGGATGGTAAAAATGAAGTACAAAATTTGAGCAAAATCGAATTGTGGATAAAAAAACTTCCACGTAAAAATAACTTTTGATTTTTTGAAAAAAATAATCATGGCGCTTAACGACTTTAACGTAATTTTTGTGGCTTAGCATCAGATCTGCAGTACATGTCCTGGCCGTTCGAAGGTGAAATCTGTGAAGAAATATTGTGTTCTGAAACGTGCATTTCCAAAGTGCGAAAATTTTGTGTGAGACCAGCCAGTGTTACATTTTATTAATAAATTAAAATGGACAATGAAACAAGATTGTGAATACGCTCTAGCCGGCTATGTGCAATGCTTCAGCTATCTTCTCTAAATAAACATTAGACTTACAGAAATGTCAAAAAAGTGCTGGTTTCGTTTGGAAAGTCTTCGTATTGAGGATATAGAATTTACAAATTAGTGCCAAGGCATCAAATTCGAGTTGACTAGAAATTTGCTGAAGGTAAAGTTACTTAGACAAATCTTAAAAACGAGGACTGTTTTACTAGAATGATTTTAATGACTGCAGCTCGGAAATTGATAAACATTGTATTACTTTATTATTTTATTCAACTACAGCTACTTTGTCAAACGTTGCGTTACCTTGTATTTTTGCCCGCGCGATAATCTGTTGCCCTTGACGGCCTTTTGTGTTCGGGTCCGCCCTTGCCCTAAACAGTCGAGATAAAGTAACCAAATTGTTCCTGCTTGCTCTAGGACTAGATGTAAAGAAAGTATTTTGTTTTACTGTCAAGCATAGGGTTCGCCAAGGAATGACGGGATCTAATGTATTTGTATTACGGCATAATACAAGCATACTGCAATCGAACTGTAATCAAGGTTTAGTTTAAGTTTCATTGTTTTTTAAAAAGAATTTCTGCACTAACCAGTTTCTGGAATCTTGAAATAAAATTACAATAATATTTACGTAACACTAACAAGTTTAAAAAGATGTTTGGATAAGTGGTGGAAATATTTTAAAGGGTTAAATGACCTAAAATTTTCGAGATATAATTTGTTAGGTTTTAACAAACTATTTAACCAACTAACAAACTATTATCTTGAATATGTTGGCTAATTATTTTGTGAGCAAGATAACATGGGTCAATTAAATTGTAGAATGTATATTTATTTTTTTCTTACAGTTTTCAGATGTGCTAGTGGCCATTATTGACGTTTCGGTTATATTGTCTACATTTCCTACCTTCAATACATTTTGGCAT